CATTTCAGATATCGAAACAAAATATTATATCGATATCGTATCGCAACACCTGATATCGATATAAATTGACCGATGTGTTGAACAACGATATTGATATATTGAATATCGTATCGGTATCGCGCATCCCTACCGCAGCCGTACTGCGATGAAAATGATGTCGGTGGACATATAAATAATTTTTTCGCAACTTTTCTCGCTCGCACTTTCGCTGCTGCGCGGGCAAAAAAGTGCCCACCTCTGGTGTAAAGAGTACAATGAAAAGGCGTGAGTACTAGGCACGGTGGAGAGAATATAGAAGCAGGGTTCGTATTTGCACACACATGTGCAGCACATCCTAACATTTTAAGCTCACACACGTGTGCTGTGCATATAAAAAATTAAAAATTTGCTCACATCACATGTGTGTACCGTTTGGTAAACAGCACGGGCACATGTGTGTACTTTCTTTTTATTAATGTAAAGCACACGCACATGTGTGTGCTATGCGTAGAGAAACTTATACACTTCGAATTCTAACTCAAATCTTAAAATAATTTTTTAATATGTTTTCTGTCATATAAAAAACAAACAACATCTCACTTTTTATTGAATTGTGTTTCAAAAAATAACGTTTAATAAACAAATTCTTTTAAGAATATATTATGTGCATGTGCATGGGCTGAAATTTGTACAAAAATCGGCTCACACACATGTGTATGTGCTTAATAACAAACAGCGCACACTTTTCTGTGAGTAGAGTTTGTTTTCCACTTATGCACACACATGTGTATGAGCAGCGAGTGCAAGTTGAATGTGTTTCTGGCGTGTGTGTGAGCAGAGCATGTGTGTGCAAATACGAACCCGAAGGTTGCGCCGATGGTAATACCGCTAATCGGCTCTCAGTAAATTTGACAGAGTAAGCTGTTTCGCTGACGTCACAGTCGAGATGCCAGCAGTAGTGATGTGCTGAGTCAATACTTTTAAGTATCCAATACTCTCGATACTCGGTACCGAAACATTTAGGTTTCGAATAAAAGCGCACATAGGCCAAAGATATGGAAAAAACGGTTCAGGGGAGACTCGCCTATCAAAACCCGAATGTATGACCCAATAGAGCTTTTAATACTGATTCAAATGAAAGATGTATATAAGTCGGTTCGAGGCCATAATACAGAGAAACTCTTACTTGTTTGAAGTATTTTGGTTCCAGTTGAATCGGACGATATCTTTTGTAGGCAGATTCTGTAACCAGTTAGCGACAATTTTCGAATCCGTATCGGTTTTGTTGACGTAAGATATGAAATATTTTTATGTTATTAGAAATGCGTAGTTATTAGAAGTATGAATGTTTGTGCAATATGTTTATTTGTATATGCATATGAAGCATATTTAACTGATGAAAACATAAACTGTTTTTAAATTGGATGTTTACATCAATCTCATAGTAGTCTTATTTTAATTTTTAGTCATTTTGCAGTTTTTATACAGCTAAATAGCACATAAATTACGCAATTCCCATAGATACATCAATATTACGTTCACCATTTCGTTTAAAATGCCAGATTTCCTGCAAATACATTAGAATTTACAAAAGGAATTTCACTACTAATTGCCTACTTTGCGTACTTTTCTACTACCATTTTCGCACCAAGAGATTTCATTCCTCCCCGTTTCTCCATCCTTCGTAAATGCAACCTTTTGTAAGGGAGTGTCAAACCGCAACTGTCAATAATTATCTAACCTTGTATTATTGAATCATGATATTGGCGAAGGTTTAATGTAAAGAATCAGGTATTAAGTACCGAAACCTTTTTCAAGTATTAGGTACCGACAATTCAGCACATCACTAGACAGCAGTTTTATTTGCCGCTCTCAGTTGTCAACTCTACGGTGACGCCACGCCAAAATTACTCTCACGAATTCTGCTGCAATCGGCGCAATCTTGTATTCTATCATTCTTGAGTACTAGGTACTCATGAAATTTGATGTATAAACAGATGCGAACGGCAAGGCATACAAGTACGATTACATATAAATATAACCTCATTCAAAGCTCGTTAGCTGTCAAATTGGTTGTGCTTGTTATTCTCACAACTCGAAGAAAAGTTAAGCTTCTTCTCTGTGCCACCATGGTCACTTCTTTGTGCTACACATATTGTGAGATTTAATTATATTTTAACTTAATATTTTATTAAAAATTCCTTTATAAACCTCTTTTCCTTACTAGCGTAAATTTTTGTTACCGATTCAATTTTTTTTAAATCATAAATTATTTAGTAAGGAAGTATTGAGCCACCTTAGGACTTTAGTGAAAGCATTTTGCATCTCCAAAGTACCCGAGTACTTTGGACTAAAGTATTTAGCGCCTTTAATTTAGCATCTAACAGCTCTTATATGGTGGACAGACGAACAAAATTAATTTGAATTAAGAAGCACAAATGCAAATTGAAATTTCACCCTAACAGACGGCAACCTTGTGCATTTAAACAGCTGATATTGATTTTTGTTTCCTATATTCACCAAGTGAAAATGGATAGAAGAAAAATATTTTTAATGACAGCTATGCTGTTAATAGAAAATCAAAGTTTATTTTGTGAAAAAATTCAGTTACTATTAATTAAATTACTAATAAAAAAGGCACGTCTAATTGCTTTTGTAAACAGTTACACGAGCGGCGATTGCAAATATTCAGTCCGACGTACGGCGGTTCTGGAAATGCGTAAGTACAAAATGCAATTTTATTCGAATTTTTAATCATTATATGTGCCCTTAAAGGATCGCAGTAGCACATTTTGGGATCACGATGTATGTACAATGGACGACGCCAGATTCAAGGAAAACTTTCGTCTCGATAGGGGCGTTTCAAAAAGTGTGCGAAAAAGTGCGAGGAATGGAGAAAATGGATTACAATATGAGACGTTGTATTCCACTCGCAAAGAGGGTGGCTATAGCACTTTTCTCATTGGGCTCTGCAGCAGAGTACAGAACAGTTTGTAGTTTATTTGGTGTTGGCCGTAGTACTGTTGGTGAAATTGTTTTGGAGTTTTGCCACGCAGTTTGCGATAATCTTGCAGCTTGCATTAATACATACCCCCCGAATCAACAAGAAATCAAAAGAATTGTTGACGGATTCGGTGCCCTAGGGTTTCCGCAATGCTTCGGGGCTGTAGATGGTTGTCACATTGAAGTGCAGCCAAGAAAAGAGGATGCCGTAGATTACCACAATTACAAAGGGTGGTATTCCGTTTCTTTTATTGGCGAGCTGTGATCACAGGTAAGTTTTAGGCTACGCTATCGCATGCTTATACATAAGTATGTACTATTTAATTACATATGTATGTATTTGCACTTACAGGTCAAAATTTACGTATATTAACATTGGATCCACTGGAAAAAATAATGACTCCTATATATTTGAAAAAAGTTCATTAAGACAATTTCATGAAAGCGCCGATATGTTCGTACAAAATAGCGAGCTTATTGGCGGAATCAATATACCTGTGCTACTTATGGGCGATTCAGCCTTTCGTTTATCGCGCCACATGATGAAACCGTATCCATATGTAGCTAACCAGCCAGCTGCTGAGAAACTCTTTAATTATCGACTGTCCAAATGTCGCCGCGTGATCGAAAATGCTTTCGGCGAGCTGAAAGCTCGTTTCCGTAAAGTAGGTAGAGGCTTACAGGTAGCACCTAGAAACGTCAACATCATAATAACAGCTTGCTGTATTTTACACAATTTTTTAAAAATTGCAAATGACGAAGTTTCTTCCGTGTGGATGCAAGACGCAGCAGAAGACGGATCAACAAGAAATCAACCTAATCACACAACAAGAGTAGGCGAAAATGATCAAACAGCGGCGGCTATTAGGAATGCCATTGCTATGAGTTTCCGTAAGTAAAAAGGTTTGTACTATGTTTTTCGCAGTAGTTTCTTTTATTTAAATTCATTTTGTTTTTAACTATTTGGTTTTTTCTCACATTCATACATACAGTCATGTGAAAAATTATGGGCCTACGACTTTTTAAGAAGTTTTGGCTATTTTTCTTTTGTTTGTTTAATGTTTATTATTTTTTTTTTTTATAAAAAAACAGCTCATTATCTAACAAAAACCATACAAGTCCAAATTTCAAACTTTGTAAAAATATTATATGGCAGAAAACTTACATATAGGGTTTTTGTTAGACAATGAGCTGTATTTTTATAAAAAAAAAATAATAAACATTAAACAAACAAAAGAAAAAATAGCCAAAACTGGTCAAAACGTTGTGCCCTATTACTTTTCCAATTACTATATCTGTAGATTGCATACCACTAAATTAAATCCTTTTTTCTAAAACATATATAGTTTAAATTAAATTCATTTTTTGTAAAACTGCTTACATCACTTAAATGGGTAAATCTGAAATATGCTACAGTCATTGACAAAAAAAAATATGTTTGCGGCATTTCGACTCTTTTTGTTGCTTTTGCTTATTTAATGTTTATTAATTCTGTTTTATAAAAGTGTAGCACATTATATGGCAAAATCATATAAATCAACATTTCAAACTTTGTAAAAAATTATAAAAATTAATTGTTAATTGTTGTTGTTATTCAAAATAGCTCGAAACTTTTTTATCAGAGTCTATAAAATATTTTCTGGTATGCAGTTTTTAGCGCATTAAATTTAATTATAGAAGGGTAAGTTTGAAGTGGCTAGAGAATCGCATTGATTTTTAATTTTTTTTCATATAAAAAAAATCGATGATGCTTTATTAGCAAAAAAATTATTAAAAATCAATGCGATTCTCTAGCCTCTTCAAACTTGCCCTTCTATAATTAAATTTAATGCGCTCAAAAACTGCATACCAGAAAATATTTTGAAGATTCTGATAAAAAAGTTTCGAGTTATTTTGAATAACAATTAATTTTTATAACTTTTTAAAAAGTTTGAAATGTTGATTTATATGGCAAAATCAAAACCAACAAAAATAGTCAAAATGCCGCAAACATTTTTTTTGTCAATAGGCCGTGTGCATAAAAACTAAGCCATTGCTTTTTCTTAAAATTGCATACCTTTCACTTAAATTTATTTGAACAAATCGAGTATAAGTTCTGAAATTGTGAGGAGAAGCATTTGAAAATTACATTTTCTCTAATACATTTTTCATTATATTTATGAACTCTTTCGTAGCACTACTCTGCTCTTTAATGGCATTAACACATTCGGTGGTGAATACTTTTCCGTCTTGTATAACCTCTTTTAAAAGCTCAGTCTGTTCTTTAGCTATTTTCAAGACTTCACCCATATAATTTCTCTTCCTTCCAGACGATGTGGCAGCTGCAGCCATGGATGTGGACGATGTGTCAATTGGCGAAGGAAGCGGTGACAAAATTTGGGGGGACCGGGACTGAGCGACTTGAGATGGTGACGGTGGAGGTACAGCGGATGATGATGGTGATGGTGGAGGAACTGTGGATGATGATGGTGATGGTAGAGGCACTGTGGATGATGATGGTGAAGGTACTGCGGATGGGGATGGTAAAAGAGTGAGTGCTTGTGAAGGCAACGGCGGCAGGCCTGATGACGATGCATCCTAAAAAACAAGAAGTTTTAAACATACATATGTGCAAATGTATTTTTAAAGTTTTCCTAAAATATATGCACATGTATATGTATGTACATATGTACATACATACATATTTACAAGCAATTATGAAATTAAATTTACTTAAAATTGAAAACGATTCCAATATCTCAGCGATGTTTGCTGCATTGAATCCAATAATTTGGTGGACAGCATCAAAATGTTTCCAAAGAGATGGACTACCACCAGACGGTCCAACTTTTTTCTTTTCTTCTCTGCAATTTTTCATATATACATAATTGATGTGAAGAATGATTAAATAAAAAATAACATACCTATATCTTTGGGTCATGTTACGAATTTAAACATGAACCTCCTTTGCCGTAAATTTTGAGGCCATTTGTATGGATATATCTGCATAAATATGTAGATTGCGTTTAGCGCGTCGCAAGTCAGCGGCACGTTCGGCCCACAAATCCAGGAGCACTTTTTCGTCGCTGGTGCTCCAAGTGCTGCGTTTTTTGTCGCTCGACATCTGAAACTAGATAAAATGCTTTTTGTTAACATAGTTCTACTTATTTTTAACAAATTTATTAAAACTACTTACGTCTGATTTGTTTTTCTTTTGGCTTCGCTTTTAATAAATTTCTTGCTGTCAATCACAAGCACCATTCACAATAGACAAAATATGTCAATTTTGGACGGTGTTGCCGGGGCACCGAAATTGCGCATATGGAAACTGTGCATTTAGACATTATTTCGGTTTCAACCGAAACTGTGCATGTATGCTTTATTTCGGTTTTTGCCATATGCATTATTTCGGTTTTGAACTGAAATTGTGCATGCATGCATTATTTCGGGATTTGTTATATGCATTATTTCGGTTTTCTAACGAAAGTGTGCATATGGATAATTTCGTTTTTTCTAATATGAATTATTTACTTCTACTTAGTAAGGGGTTTAATCCCTAAGCGCGGCTGAAAGCCGCCTACGCAGAGAAAAGTTCTGCGCAAAAATACGTCCGCCCTTCTTTTTCCGGCAATACAAAAGGAGAATTCTACTTAGTAAGGG